AGCCTGCTTCCAATGACTAACTTACAATGTCTGCTGGCTCTACGCGTTTGTAGTAGTTTCAAGAAGCAGCTCAGAAGAATGTATTCATGTTGAAAGAAGAAATTTATTTTGACATTTCTGATAGCAGTATCCATATCGGAAAGACTTTATATTCAATTAAGTTGATAAATAGCTCATAGAGAGCAGTTCTTCCAGACTTGTGGGTAGATATAAACACTATTTAGTTGATCTGCTGAAGAGTCCCTAGAAAGAAGACGCAGACTGTCTATCAGAAATATTAATGTCACCTTAAATAAAACATGACAGAGGACTGATACTCAAATGCAGCAGTGAATCGGAGGCGCCAGTGCTGCTGACTCTTCACATCTCCACCTTGACTGCACCTTCCAAGCATTAAATGAGCGCAGTCTAATGGTCTGACTCAGTTATTGCTTTCAGCATGTTGGTGCTTTTATATGTATGTGTCTCCCGCTCCCCACCTGTGTGTGTGCGTCTGTGGTTCTTTAGGTTCCCAGCAGTGGTGAACTTCTTGCCGCAGTTCTTCTCCTTGCAGATGAAGGGCTTCTCGCCGTTGTGGGTCCTCATGTGAACTTGCAGCCTCTGCAGCACGTAGAAGCTCTTCCCGCAGCCCTCCGCGCCACACCTGAACATTCGGTCGTTCCTGTGAGAAAACCGAACAAACGAGCCTCAGCGCCTCCCCGCACACAAGATTAATTCAGAGCCCACCTCGAGGTCAGACGGGGCAACCACAAGAAGATTTCCTGCACGTGGTGTGAAGACAACACCTGATGCATGAGTGTACATTTCTTTTCAAGTTTCAGCTGTGATTCTTCCAGAGAGGCAGAGAGTTTTTAAGTTAAAAACCTGTGGAAACACTGTGATCACTCAGCTGTAAAACATCTGTACAGCTCCACTCCGACACCTAGTCTCCTAGAGGCCTGAGGATAACATATTTAATCACTATTTACTCAGATTTCTCCAGAGTTGTACAGTTAACGCCTCTGAAGTAATATAACATAGAATGATATAGCCACATCTTCTGAAATACCAAAGCAACTATTCTTGTTTGTTTATTTGGGGGCATTTTTAACACAGATTGAAATGCTATACAGAACTCCTTCTGTTGTATATAAATGTTTGGTTTGGGAATAATAACAACCTTCATACTTACCGTATGTTTTACAGGTAATAATGGCTTTGATTTTCCCTTAACAGTTCAGTTTAATTGCTCATATTACATTTAAAAGTGACAGTGTGTAATGGCTGTATTAGCCTGCAAGCTTGTACTATTATTTTTCAATTTGGTAAATGTATCCACATTAGCTAGGCTTTGCACATGGTTGAATATTGATGGCAGCAGCAACTTGTAGGAACTGCTGCCTGGAGCCATTATCTTCAACTGCTGTGCATGTGTGTGTGATGTGTTAAATGTGTGTGTCATGTGTTACCTGTGTGTTCGTGATGTGTTAAATGTGTGTGTGATGTGTTACCTGTGTGTTCATGATGTGTTAAATGTGTGTGTGATGTGTTACCTGTGTGTTCATGATGTGTTAAATGTGTGTGTGATGTGTTACCTGTGTGTTTTGAGGTGGTATTTGAGATGAGCCGGCCAGGTGAAAGTCCTGCAGCATCCCTCAAACGAACAGCGGAGGATCTGCTTGGAGAGGGGGCGGCTGGTCCGAGGCGGGAGCTCTCGCTTGTCCCCCTCTGCTATCAAACTGTGCGTGTGGTCACCTAGGCAACAGGAAGAGGAAAGTGAGCGGGGTTGTGCAAAAAACAATCCAGGAGTTGCCAGGTGGTCGGCCTCTGGAGCCCGGCCGTATAAAAAGCTAATCACTGCATAGTGACTGAGACCTGCTGAACAACTGCTGCCAGAAGAAAACAACCTGAAACTGAACGCAATCACTTGCTTTTGACCTGCTCAGACTCCCCACTTTGAACACTGTTAACAGGTCCAATTTTGCTTACAGCGTGTCTGCAGTAATGCAGCCATAAGTGAAACCCCACTGCTGAAAGAAACTTGTCTAATCTAATGCGAGTTGGTGGGAGGGCAGCTATTACAGCGGCTCAGATAGAGGAGTTTTTAGTCCCACACTGAAATCAGTTACAGCCTGCTGCAGACTTCTCATTTACCAATGTGCTCATTACTTCAGGCCCTTTCTTTACTACCACAGCATCTCCCAAGAACACTATATATCTTACATTGTGCTAAAATATAACATCATTGTCTTGGTAAACCTGATAAAAGACATACAAGATCAGATCCAGAAATACGTTACCTTCTTTCCTTTGAACCATTTTTTCCCTCGATCTTAAACAAGCTTAAAGAGGGCAAAACAAATGTGGAGCAGGTAAGGGGATCACCTGTCAGGCTGAAACCCATCATGATCTCTTTTGCCAAAGGAAAGGAAACACCTAATCAACTTTCTAAAGCACGTTGGGAAAAGGACCTAAACCATGTTTCAAAATACAAAGGTGAATTCACTAAGACTGGATTGTGTGTTTGATTGTGTGTGCTTCAACGGATGATGAAGTGAAACGAGAGGGGCCACTTCTTACCGGTTTAAATCCAGATTCAATAGATAAAGTGCAAGTTCATATGTTTATACAACAAGCCTCCTTCGACGACAAAGCCAGTAGCTTGTCCAGATTAAAAAAACTAAAAACCTACTCATCGCTCTCCTGCACAATGGCCAAGACACTTCATACTAGGGCCAGACAGATGTGGGATTTTTGGTGCAGATACCGATATTGCGGAAGGGAAAAAAATTTGATACAGATATATGGGCTTATATCTTTCTAAGATCAATGTTCGATCTGTAGAGATAGATAGATAAGACACATTTATTGTGTTGATCCCTCAAATTCAGTTCTCAAACACTTGTGTAAAAGATGTACACAGTATAATGTAGACAAGACGGTCACTCCACCGAAAAGTAACTGGGCATGTACGTGCATCACCGCTTGACATTCTGGAGAGTGGTAATGTTTGTTGTAGTCCATATAGCACCCTCTGCTGGTGACAGCTAGAAAGAGAACTGCTAGTGTGATACAATGAAAACAATGAAAACAAATTAAATGCTATTTGACTTGTAAAGAATTCTCATAAAATCGGCGCATTTCTGCGATAAAATTAGCCGATACCGATATTCACTGGACAAGCCAACAATAGGTCAGACTCTTCTTCACACATGTTAAAGTGTGCCTGTATGTGCTGTGGTCTCTGACAGCCCTGGATGGATTTAACCCTTTAATATAATGATTTAAGTGATTTTAATGGAATACTTTTAAACTTTATTTACAGATAATTTAATTTTAAAATTTAATTTTTTAAATTTATTTTAAGAATAAGTAATTTAAATACCTGTTAGTAAGTAATTAAAATATTTTTTCAGTCTATCTGTCTGTTAGCCCCTTTATTTGTGGATGACAGTTTTTTGCTTTAAGGCTCATTTGCATAGAAAGGGGGACAATCTTAGCCCAAAGACTGCATAATGGCTCAGTTAAACAAGTTCATGCAGCACCAGAGCACAGTGATGCTGTTTGCTCTGCAGCACAGTTTGGGGTGCATTTTACTCTACAAGTGTGCTTTGTGGATCAGGCCCACAGTAAATTTAAATTATAAGTCAACAGCTGCCAGATGTGCTGTAAAAAGACATTTTTACATCACAAAACATCTGAGACAAAAGGCCACAAAGACAAAGTGCAGAACTATTTCTGAGGCTGTTGTGAAAGATATATTTTGATAGTGACAGCAGGGCAGTGTACTGCTGTGTCTTTATCTTATTTCAGGAAAATTGCCCAAACATCACACCATCATTAGGATAATATCTGTATTAAAACATTTACTCTTTTATGTTCCAAGGACTGTGAGACCTGCAACTGGATTCATCTCACTGCCTGTAACATCCAATACCAGAGCACTGCTTCTTGTGCAATTTGAGGGAATTAAGCTTTGCCAATATATAAAATAATAATATCTCCTTAAAGCTAAAAAAAAAAAAAACACTGCTTAGTCTCTGGCTGTAACACCACTTTTAAAATGTGTTGAGAGCTCTTCTGGAGAACTTTAGACCCTCAAGGCAATTTAAAGAATAAGAATGTCAAGCATGGGATCCAAATGAGCTTTTTCTTGTTTTTCTTTCATTTTATGTTCCCCTTTTTTTCATTCCCCCAAAACATTACCACACACCTGTCTGTTTTTTTTTTTTTTTTGGGGGGGGGATGGGGATATGTTCACTGTGCTTTGTGTGTATTTATAAAAGTATTCATAATATGAAATAATAATTTGAAAACAATCTTTTAATGTAAATAACTGATTACAAACCCAAACAGCATTACTGAGAAAGGAAACTTGTATTGCAAAGCATAATAACCCAAAACATTATTTTCTCACAAACCTAAACATTTCCACCAATGAGCGAAGAAGAAACTACAAACGCAGTGAAGCAGAATTGAAGTCAAAGATCCAGAACAAAAGATCCGGGTGTGCAGGAGATAGTCTGGGAGCTGGTAATGATGGGAATAAAACTCACTCCCCTTTCACTTTTCTAACCTGGACCTCCGGCTGCAATTTGGCTCAGAGGGAGTTCAAAGATCAGAGACGTAGCTAGGAGACACGGCATCCTGAATGTCAAGGGTGAAATCTAACTGGCCGCCTGTGGAGGAGAGTTAAAATGTGGTGTGATGCAGCGCAGACTCCTGGTGAGGGTCAACAGCAAAGGAATGTCTGCAGTTCAGATCAGAGAGGGGAGCTGTAAGTGAGGGGGGGAGATTAAATGTAACTTTGAACTGAGAGGGCAACAGATGAGAAGGACATTTTAGCGATATGAGAATCCATAGTAGACAAGGGTTTGTAAACATATTTATAGCATTTCGTTTCCAAAAACGTTGCCGCTCTAGTGTTTCGACAGCTTTGATTGTGTTTCCATGCCAGCTTTATTCCTCCATTTCAGGTATTTGTGCTAAACTAAGACTGTGGGTAGCTTCATGTTTAGCACACAGACATGAGAGTGGTGTCATTTAACTCTTTCTCGAAAAAACCTAAATAACACATTTCCCAAAATGTCAAACATCTCAGAAAGATCAGATGATCTAATATCCTTCATGTGACATTTTCCTGATGTCTTGTTTTATCACCTGTACACATCTTGTCCTGTCGTCTAACCTGCATCCGTCTACTAACTGCTGCCTCACACTCTCTCTCTCTCCGTCTCTGGAGCCCGCATTAGTCACATTACTAAACGCACATTAAATCATCAGAGACATGGCACACCGAAAGGTACTTAAGCGCGATCAATGTTTCACGATAATGGGGCGCTGACAACTATGCTGGATATTTGCAGACAGATTTGTAAATCTATGAAGACAAAGCAACAAATTCATTTTGATTGAGAGACTTCTGATCAGGAGTGCTGAACACAGTTTCAGTCGGTGCTGATTACACCACATTTTCATCTCACTGCTGACCTCATTTCTCTTCTTTCTGTCTTTGATGCCTGCCGTAAGTAGACCAGCTGATGTTATCTCACACTAAAATGTGCTGCCTCCTGCACACGAGCCTCATTTCTATTTAATTATCTCTTTTTTTAGCCTTAACCATCACAGACTGCTAGCTTTGAAGCACATACAACTAACACTGCCCACATCCTTCAACGCATTTCTTCCGTCTAACTTACTTTTCAGGCCATTACTGCTTGCGCTGATAAAACAAAGTCACTTTACCATTACTGACACTTGCTGCTCTGGCGTCCTGGCTGGCCTTGGCATCTCTCGCAAGCTGCGCCCGTGTGGCGGCAATCAGGCTGTCATGTGCCAGCTCCTGTACTCGCAGATACCAGGGAGCGCTGACATCCATCCCATAGTCCCCTGATGAGACCACCTCATCATCATCCTCACCGGGGCCATCTGCGGCGAAGATCAGCGACTCAGAGGAAGCTGTGATGCCTGCCGGGGGAAGAAAAGGCAGAAGGACAATCATTGTGAAACAGGGGAACTCAAGGCCATCGCAGAAGTCTGCAGGATCATCAATGATCCAAGTCCCTTAAGGTCATGTCCCTGAATTCATTATTATTCACCAATCCCACTCAGCAGTTTGGGTTGATGTTTTACTCTGAATGGCTAAGAGGCTGCTGGCAAACAGACACGTACACCCACTGAAAACAACACAATCCCCCTTTATTCAAGATTTGAATTCAAAGTAACAAAAGGCAGAAAGTGATTCTGCCTTCTGAAAGTCTTTTCTATCTGTCACATCGCTCACTGAGTCACAGACTGAACATAGCGCTGCACAAAAGGTGCATGTCAAGGGACCAAAATTAATTTTCTGGCTCTATTGCCAAGGGCTGATGAACCAAGAGAATGTGCCTGCCAAGGATCATTTCTTCCAGCCAAAATAATTCACAGTTTTCTTCATGAAAATGTGTCACCCCATTTCTTTTTAGCTCTCCGTGTAGAATCAGGAGCCGTGCGAGACACAAAGTGCATACAAAAAAACAGATTTAAAGTTTTAATGTGAAACTTCTCAGCCTTCTGAAACGATGTTTGAAAACCATCAGGAAGTAAGTCATCTTACAGGAATAAAGCTTTGATTGATCGTAACGAATGTGGAAAAAGCCGATCACTGTTGCAGACAGGAGGAGTTTGTCTTACTGAAGTTAGCACCACATTTGTGCATGGTGGGTGTAAATCCAAGAATGTGTTCATATGAATAGTTAAGGGTTGGTTAGTTCTTTTACCTTTGGCAAGGTTGAGCAGGACATATGAAGGGCTGTCCGACTGCTGCAGGTCGTGGAGGATGGGTGGGGGACTGGGTGAGGCCTGTGGATGAGAGTGTGTCTGCACCACCAATGGGCCTCGCTCCGACACGCCTCCAAACTCTGACAGTGAGGGTGAACTCTGAGGATCATGGCTAAGGCCTCCATCTGAGGAGAAAATGAAGAGATTCAATCTCTGCAAGTTATCAGCAAATAAATGCCCAAACCAACCCAGCTTTGTTTCACATTGGCTGCTATAAAATATGTACAGCTGCTTCAAGGATGCACAAAAAGCACTTTGAAAAGAATATCAACTTCTCTGTGATAAAACTCCTCATTATATATATATATATATATATATATATATAAAAAAACACATATTTATGGTAAGTTATGGATGTCGTGTCTCTTGAACAGCTGAAGCCGCTGGTGTTTTGTTCTGACGGGTTTTAACTTCACTTAAAAAGTGTTCTTTCCATAGCAGAGTCGGATCTTGTAAGACTATTTTATTAACACAGGGAAGAAAGCAGTTCAACACATACGTTTCAAACATAAAGGTTACAGAGATGTTGTGACGACAGAATATAAACAGATGTGGGAACACTGCATTACATAAACAACAAACTTCAGGTATCCAGAGATGTTTTAAAACTTGATTTCAAATTACTAGATGGGCATTTTCCTCCATATTTATTGTTTAGTAGACTGCTGACACTAGCTGCTGCGTGCGCCCGTGCGCCCGTGCGAATTGACAATAAAGATCTATTCTATTCTAGTCTAGTAAAAGACGACTGATCTTGACATAAAAAAGATGCAACTCTATCTCACAACTGTCGTTCATGTATGCATTATCATGCAAAACAAGATCCAGATGCAAATAGAAATAATATCGGAAAACAATTGTAAAACCTCATATATCTGATTTTATCACTATTTATTATAATCGCTTGGGGAGTTATAACAAGTTGTGATCATAATATTAACATATCAGCATATGTTTAACTGTTATAGACGTAAAAATCTCACTTCTTTACGCATGTTGAACATTTGAAACAGAATGTTATCTCACTGGCTGTCATGCTAAACTCAGTCCAGTCAGTCAAATTCAGTGTGGCTGCTTAATGCTCCACATTTCTGCTGGTGCTGAGCAGACACTGAAGATTGGATTTAAAAATTACTTCACTGAAAACTTAAATAAGCTATTCGAGAAATGAGAATTAAGAAACTATTTGATTTGTGTGCCAAACTAGGAAATAAAAATAAAAACTTAAACGGTCTATAGAGAGGCCATAAAGATGAGGGAAGCTACAGATTCGGGTGATAATACTTTCATCACTACAAATAGCTTTCACATTTATTTACCTCTTTTATTATTTGATGCAGTTACTACATAGTTATTTCAAACATATTACATATATTTCATCATTTTGAGATCAGAAAAAAAGATTCAGAAACTGTTTGGCACTGGGTGTATCTTCAATGCAGACATTCAAAACGTTGTGATGTTAAGCTCCACAGTTTCTCATGTTATATGAACAGATATGAATATTAAAGCAAATAGGATAGTCTTTCAGTGGAAATTGCAAACTCCCTATGTGGTGTGAACAACAACAGTTCTGAAGTGCACTTGTATGTAATTTAGGCTTTGGAGATGTCAAATTTGAGGGATAGCTGTTAAACTACAACTATACGCTATGTCGCAACAATAAAGGAGACAGTGATATAACTAAACAACAACTGAATCACCAGTGGTACAATGCGGCATACAGTAACCCTGAAAACAACTCAACTCTGAACACCACTGATGGTATTTAGCTGCTGACCTGTGAGCTCGAGCGGGCTGCACAGTGTGCTCTCAGCCGGGGCCAGCAGAGGCAGGCAACAGTGTTTGGACTCTGAGTCCTCCAGACCCTGCACAAGAGGGATGGACGCGTTCTGTACAAACTGCACCAGCAGCTGAGCAGAAAGAAAGAGACACAACTTTTAAAACATTGTACAGTAATGGTTTTAAGTTTTATTTAATGTCACAACAACAGTCTCTCCCCCCCCCCTGTAATAAAGGACCTGCGCATAAAGATATGATGACAGGAGTACCTCTGGTTTGGCGTCAAGCTCATCAGAAAGCATGGGTCGCCCTGTGTGGAACCTGCAGAATAGAATCAGCTGCTTACACACACACACACAAGGAATTTGTCTTCAGCAACAATAAAAGGATAACACTGGTTAATGCAACATGCTGCAGAGTGTGATACTGGAGGAAGTCTAATTCAAACAATAATTACCTCAAATGTGACCTGCTGAATGTGGGATAGTGTGTTGGTCATGTGCGAAGGCTGTAAGTCATCTTTTAGTCCAAACCATCACACAAACATCACACAAACATCACACAAACCATCACACAAACCATCACACAAACAATCACACAAACATCACACAAACATCACACAAACATCACACAAACCATCACACAAACATCACACAAACCATCATCACACAAACCATCACACAAACATCACACAAACCATCACACAAACATCACACAAACCATCACACAAACAATCACACAAACATCACACAAACATCACACAAACAATCACACAAACATCACACAAACATCACACAAACAATCACACAAACAATCACACAAACATCACACAAACATCACACAAACAATCACACAAACATCACACAAACATCACACAAACATCACACAAACAATCACACAAACATCACACAAACAATCACACAAACATCACACAAACAATCACACAAACATCACACAAACCATCACACAAACATCACACAAACATCACACAAACATCACACAAACAATCACACAAACATCACACAAACCATCACACAAACCATCACACAAACATCACACAAACCATCACACAAACATCACACAAACATCACACAAACAATCACACAAACATCACACAAACCATCACACAAACCATCACACAAACATCACACAAACATCACACAAACAATCACACAAACATCACACAAACCATCACACAAACCATCACACAAACATCACACAAACCATCACACAAACATCACACAAACATCACACAAACATCACACAAACAATCACACAAACATCACACAAACCATCACACAAACCATCACACAAACAATCACACAAACATCACACAAACAATCACACAAACATCACACAAACCATCACACAAACATCACACAAACAATCACACAAACATCACACAAACCATCACACAAACCATCACACAAACATCACACAAACCATCACACAAACATCACACAAACATCACACAAACATCACACAAACAATCACACAAACATCACACAAACCATCACACAAACAATCACACAAACATCACACAAACCATCACACAAACCATCACACAAACATCACACAAACCATCACACAAACATCACACAAACATCACACAAACATCACACAAACATCACACAAACAATCACACAAACATCACACAAACCATCACACAAACCATCACACAAACATCACACAAACCATCACACAAACATCACACAAACATCACACAAACAATCACACAAACATCACACAAACCATCACACAAACCATCACACAAACATCACACAAACATCACACAAACAATCACACAAAACAAGATTATTATCTGCTCTACCTCACATTTTTTATTTTAACTGTCCAAATAAGAAGCTTTTCAAATGAGTTAACTACATGTATCCTCCACTCTAAAGCCCAGAGTCAGTGTGGATTGTTTTTGTTGAAGCTGACAGATAAAAAGACTCCGTTATTAACTTAGCTAGCAGGGTTAGCAGTTCACAAACTAGCTACAGGAGCTAGCAGACTGGTGAAGGCGTGCCGGTATCAAAGCATAGGTCACAACGAAACACCGTGCATATAGGTTAGACTTTTCACATTAAAACCATTGTTTTACCTTGTAATAGTTGTCCGACTTAAGTTATAGAGTGACAGAAGCAAGAAAATAATTGTCCCAGAAGAGAGTAGCAGGTTTGCTCTACGGAATCTCGGGTGGAACAATATTTGTGTACTTCCGCGTTTTCCAGACAGACAGGGATGCTGTGTGACCGACTCCACCTAGTGGTCGAAACTGTGAACTACATGTTTTTTTTTTTTGCACACAAGGTTAGGGAGTGTAAGTGCGTTTTACTGCGAACATATGTAGATAAATATCAACAAATACATGAAAAAGTACATTTTGATTTTTTTTTTGTGTGTGTGTGTGTTTTACTTTTATTCCCCATGTGTGGAGAAGAGGTTATCACAGCTGTCTTTTTTCTGTAGTTTTGAATGTTACCTTTTTTGAAAGCTTTATTTTATGACCCTGCATATCGAGATGATTTACACGATTATTCCTGACTCTTAGATTCAAGTTTATTTCCTTTGTAGTTACAACCCCCCTTATATGACAGCTTAACCGTGTCCCACCAGACATTGAAAAGACCTCGGGAGCAAAAATGTAACTTTTACCTCCTTAGCCAAATCGCTTAATTGAAGGAGTAATTGGTTAATGCTTAGTGTTCACACTAAAAAAATAATTGTATCAGGTTCTCAGTTATTTAAAATTAATAAAGTTATACTGTTTTCATGATTTGTAGGTATTTATCACAACTATAGCACTGGTGTTCTAACCAATAATATTAACTGGAGATAAACAGTATACAATGTCTCACATTTCACCAGTGTGATAACTCCAAAAATAAAATGTTTAGAGCTCCTCTTTCTTACCTCTGTCCAAGAAACATGATTCCACTCCCTGTGTTACCTAAAATGTTGAGTTTCTTTTAACAACTTCATGCATTCAAGAGACAGTTACACCAATTCTGATAGATACCTCTGTAAAAATGAACAAGAACATTTTCTTTGGAATGACATTTAATACACAGACAATGAGTCTTCAACTTTAACTGTAAAAAAAAGCCCTGAAGCGCATTCAATTCAACCCCTTTAATCGTATTGTTCTCTGATTGGTATTGGTGAAGTATCAATATTTACAACAAGTTCATTAAAAGTTATTTCTTGGTAAATCCTCCACAGTGGTAAGTCTCATGAGGATTTGAACAACTTTAGATTCACATGTTCAGAATGGAAAAAGGTTACCAGCAAGACAAACTACATTCGGTTTGCCTGACTCGACTACAGGATGTTTTTGAGCTACTGATCACAATGCTGGTGCACTACTGAAACATGTTGATACAAAAATCACAAGTTATTTCACAAACATCTCAGCATCTTTACAAATGACAGAAGGCAAACTGAATTGCACTGAGGAAACAGAGCTGCCAACATTTACATGAAAAAATTAAAATACAGCGTTGTAAAAAAAAATCACAGGTGTCCTACTGTACAAGCATGACCAGTCTTTGCTCTTTTTAAAATCACTGTTTTGTTTTTAACAACAATATGAGTTTGTAGTTATGATTGCAAGAACCGCCAATGACACAGCATGTTGCAGATATATAATCAGATAATTATGGTTTGATACAGTTTAGTCAACAGGCCATCGCACAGCAGTTTGGATCCATGATAACCAACAAAACATAAAATTACAGAGAGCCAATGGTAACTGAATCTTTATAAACGTGCCAAGGTGAAAGCAGACAGCATCAAACGAGGAAAGCTCTTTAAACATATGGACATGACCAGTTTTTTTGTGCTTTTATCAGTCAAAGAAATCTCTGACCTATTGCTAATTCAGTACCAACTTGTATTCCTCATCTGATTGAAAAGGAACTGGTCAACAAGAGTTTTAATTCATTTGCAATAACTATGGACATGTGTTGTTGTGAAGAGAAGAAACCTTGTACTGTCAAGAGTCTGAACTCTGAGCTCTTTTTGCAGCAGCCACACATACTTCAAACATACCATCAAAAAGACCAGAATAGTTCCAGCACTTTGGTTGCAGTCCTGGCTCGAGTGTCCTTAATAAGGCCTTTATTAAGGACACATGGTATAAAAACGAATGACCGCTCTATTACAGCGATAGTAATAATAAGCCTAAAAGTGGCTTTACATACTTAGTAAGTATTTAGTTCTTGTTCTGACATTTGGAAAACATGCAACATTCAGGCACACACAACCATAAATAAATTAGAGGTCTTCTGAAGAACTTAATTCAAATCATAGCACTTTTACTTTAGAGTGTAGAAAAGTTCACACTGCCATTGTGACATGGCATCAACATGATTGTTTATACTGCAGACACTTCTGTGACTGTCCAGAGAGCCAGTTCAGCTGCACTCAATTAAGATAACGCTAAAAGCTGATTACAAATTGACACAAGTCAGTAACTTTACTTTGAGCCCTGGCAAATTGAAAAAATAAATTCATCTCTTTTATTTCACTGACAAAACCGCACCGTTTGAAAGCGCGATTAAGTCAGTGTCCAATGTCGTAACTGACTAGGCACTGTTGACATTTTTGACAGTATGAAATTTAAGAGCTGAAGGTAAACAAGTGTGTTCCAGACTCGACAAAACGCTGAGGCATGGAGCTAAAGATGTGCTGTTTTTTTTTCAGAATGATCTCAATTCATTCATAAAAGAGCCCAAACCTCAGAGTTAGAGTTACTGTACAACTAGCCGACACATGATCCCATTTAGGTCAACAATAGCAGACATTTAAACATGGTGAAACAGAATACACCAAAACAAACTGCATACTTGGAAACCCGCTGGTAATAATAAAAAAACCTCTGACAATGTGAATCTGATGTGTGGATGTAATATAGGACAATTATTTACATAATGGTAGTTTTCTGTGTTGCGTCTCAATGCACTTCAAGTACTGTAACATCAAATAAACTACCATAGCTGCCATTTAATTCTTCCCAGAGATTACATCAGAGCCACTCTCAGGTGAATTTGGTGCAAATGCAAAGCTCTGAAGCATACATCTGGTTTGAATATTAAGGCCATAATTTATAGAAATCCAACAAACTCCCACAACTGGTCCTAATTTGGACATTGTAGGTGGTGGACTTCCTCTGTATCTGGACATGTGAGGCCCAAAGCTGACACACAACAACTGGTTTTCATCAAGAAACCTGGCTTGATGGTCATAGCTGAGAGGTTCACACAATGAATATCTCATACAAACCAGAAACAGTAAAGAACTTAGAACAGAAAAAATCTGCTGAAGTTGGACAATATTGTCAGCTTAAATTATATCCATGTGCAGAGCAATTCAAGGAACTGACAGAGCACACACACAAGTCACTGAACATTATTGTTGAGCTAAAGGAAGCACCTTTTATGCTGGGATGATATCAGGGAAGCATATAAATGGCTTCTAAAACCTTTACCCAGCCTGTTAGCACTACGGCTGCTGTCAACATGACTGGAATGCTCAACTTAAAACCGTTAACGGGATTCGCCAAATCCTCCACACCATGTCTGAAAATGCAGCTGCAACTTAAAAGACACTTCAGGCGCATGTTTATCCATTTAAAGATGCTGACTGGCGAGAGGCTCTGGACGCATTCAGTAAAACACAAAGTTTTACATTCATCACATGGTGCCTTCGATCTAAGATCTCTCAGGGCTTTAGGTCTTGATTGCAGATGAGCAAAATATTTCTGTGCAGCAGAGAAGATGCATCAAGGAAGAGATGCAGTCAGCGAGCTGTGATTCTTGTTTTAATTAGCGCAGTTCTCTTACACACCAAGCAGAGACGGCTAAATGTGTGGTCGACCACAGACTGTCTCTTTTTGGACAAGTTTGTTGAGTAAGCAGTGGCGGTAATTAACCTTTTGTTCAGATTGGAAACAAATCAGATTTGTTTCTGAAAATCAGAGCTTTAAGATAGACCACAATCATTTTGTTTTTACAAGTGATCATATCCAATTTGTATGTCCAGACATCATTCAGCTTTCTGTATGGGGTTGCTGTGGTTACCCTGCAGCCGTAAAAAAAAAATGACATACGCTGGTGATGCTGCTTTCCAAAGCAGAAACATGAGAAATGATGGTCCCCAAACAAACACTCTGCCACACTGACTGCTATTTTTCCTCTCTGATCATCACATGCTGAAAAACATCAGGGAAGGGCAAGACAAAGTACACCACCGCCACTCAAACATTTAAAAAGGGCTATACCAATACTCTCAGTTCATAATCTGAAAATATAAATGAAAATGTTTTCACATATTCAAAGGGATATTAGAAATGGTAATGTACTTTGCTTTACTTCTCTTTCCTGGATAACGTACAGACTGCTGACTGAAATATTTTCCCTTCACACAGGTGCACAACATACATGCATCTTCGCCATCAGCTAGACTTTTCAAGGGCACTATTTCCAAAGAAGACACGAGGCAACAAAAAGTCGTCATCTGAACCAAATCTTTGAGGTCGGCTTGATGTATCAGGTCCCTCAGGCAGCTGGCAGCCAAAATGTAGGCCACAGCTCACTGTGTGTGAGTATCAAGTCTGGGGGTGTGAGAGTATTGTGGAGCACATTACTTTCGGTCCATCTGTCTCTGCACTCTCCAACCCCCAACCCTGGTCCTCCTGTCCACATCTCAGTCTAAAGGATTATTGCCTAGCACTAGTCTCGGTCTAATCTGCCTTTAAGCTGGTCTGAGCAGCTCTCTCCTTCTCTTTCTCTCGTTCCTCGTCCTCCTGAAGGCGGGCCTGCAGTTTTAAACAGATGCTGGTATCATCACTCCATGCAGCCTGAAGGAAGAGGTCTGTGTACTCCTTCAGCTGGTCTATGTCGCTCTGGGTGCGTCGGTTTTGCCGGTGAAGCTCCTTGGTACGGAGCGCAATGTCTAGCAGGCCGGAATTGCTCAGGATGTTATAGGTGTTGCAGAAGCGCTTCCTCTTTGTATCAACTTCACCTTCACCTTCACCTTCACCTTCTCCTGATGAACTGTTCCCTTGGTTGCCCTCCAAAGGCACAGGCAGAGTCTTGTTTGTGGAGCCTGTGGATTGACTGAAAGATGGGTAGGAGGTAAACTCACACTGGCTGATAACTGATGAAGGCCTCTCCGTTGCAGGGCTGCTGCTGGCGCTGGTTTCCGCTGTGTTGAGAGAAA